ATAGTTGTTGATTGTAGAGCCTCATTAACAGCCTCAGTTTCTTCCTTACTTATCAAGATGTTGTTTATCAATCCGTTTGTGAGAACTTTAACCCTTTCTCCCCCATGTTCTGATGTAGTCCATACTGTGGCTGTAGTCATTGACCATCATCAGTAAGTGCTTTAAATCATCTTCATTTTCAGCAAGTAAAGTCTTGTCATCTGCATATGATAGCTTGCCATTGAGTCTACCTCCAGTCTTGATTTTTTACAGTCTAGCTGCAAGGGAGTCAACATTGAAGAGCCCAGGCAAAACCTATTATGTCTGCCAGGTGACTCTCTCTCTTGCATTCTCCCTTTGGGATAGCAAAGGATGGAGATGACCTCCACAAGGCAGGACTCAGTGTGGCACGTGGGAAGGGACAGCTTGGAGCATACAGCCCTGTACTTACTTGAATGCGAGCAGACTCTCACGTCTAGGTCCTCAGGCCGGTTGGTTGACACTTGAGGGCCAGTGTGTTAGCCAGTGCTCCTTTGGTGACACAGGGCAGAAGCCCAACTTGAACTAGCATATGCTAAAGAGGGAATGTGTTGGGTTCTGTCATCAGTGTGAAGAAAGGGACTGGATTTTAAAAGGAATGGTTTGGAAGCCTTTTTTTTTAAAGGCTTACCTTTGCTTGTTTCTGCCTTAGCTTGTGTCTTCTGCTTCATGGGCTGACTCTGGTGCCAGCATGGCTGTTGATGATTCTAGGCATAAAGAATCCCAACGACACAGACAGCAAAACATTTCTTCCACAGAGATTCAAGCTATAGTCCAAGGAATGAGTCCTGTGCTTTCCCCCGAACCAATCATTGTGACTTTTTGAGATAGACAATATAGTTGGCTTTGACACAGTCAGTATCTCCCTTGTGTTCAGGCAGGTAAGATCTATTATTAGAAAAATTTAAATAACGTTTTGAAGACACTGTGCCAATTACAGTCCTCTCCTTTGCCTGATTGCTGTGGTTAAACAGTCCGTTAGTAGCTAATCAGAATGTCAGCAGACTAGTTACTCAATGAAAGAAAGTTATGGAAATCTACTTCCATAAAACCACAACTTTGTCTAAACCAGGAGAAGAAAATATAGATGAATGGGACCTTCTAGGAATCAAATCACTATGCATATCCAAAAACTTCTTCAACAGGGTAAAAAGGGAAGCCACAGACTGGAAAAAAGTATTTGGGAATGACATGTCAGATAAGGGACTTATATCTAGAATTTATAAAATACTTGAGCACCACAACAAGATAAAGGTAAATAATCCAGTTGAAAAATGGGTACAGGATATGAACAGACACTTCACCAAAAAAGATATTCAGATAGCCAACAAGCACATGAAGAAATGTTCAAAATCCCTAGCTCTAAGAGAGATGCAAGTCAAAAGAACTGTGAGATATCATCTCACCCCAGTCAGAATAGCAAAATTTAACAGAACAGCAAACATCAAATGCTGGCGAGGATGTGGAGAAACTGGAACCCTTATTCACTGTTGGTGGGAGTGTAAAATGGTGCAACCACTGTGGAAGGCGGTATGGCCTTTCTCAAAAAGTCGCAAATAGAGATACCATTTGACCCAGCAGTTCCACTACTGGAAATATACCCCAAAGAGACCATAGCTGACATCCAAGCAGATATATGCACACACATGTTTATTGCAGCTTTGTTCACAATAGCAAGGAGTGGAAACAACCCAGGTGCCTATCAACAAACGAATGGATAGAGAAGCTGTGGTATATTCATACAATGGAATACTATGCTGCATTGAAAAACAAGGAACTCGTGCAATATTATTCTAAATGGGTGACCCTGGAGGACGTTATGCTTAGTGAAATATCTCAGTTGCAAAAGGACAAATACTGCATGGTGCCACTGCTGTAAAATGAGACTGATACCAGGGTTGGGTAAGACTGAGAAAAACTAGATAAATTGCATATACTGCCTTGAAACAGATGAAGGTAAGAATAATTTAAAAGCAATGTATGATAGGCTATTATGGTTATCACAAGAGTCCACAATTAAGGTTGCATAGTAGAGTATACTTAGGGCGGTGGGAAGGGTGTGGGGGGGTTGTATATCAAAGAAAGCATTTTTCTTCTGATTTTCAAAGAGAGGAGCGAACTGGGGCGGGGAGGGGCAAGGGGGAGGGCTGGGCAGGGAGAAAAGTGCAACAATGAATGAATGGAAATCCAAAATCTCTTTAAATGTTCATTAAAATTATTAAAATAAAATTTTTAAAAAGTGGTAAAAATAATTTTTAAAAAACCAAACACAACTTTGAACCCCCACAAGAAAGTTATTTGCTGTATAATAACTATTAGTAGTGAGTTTGGGTTTTGGATTTAAGGAGCCATTTTGCCTCTGTCCTTTAAAAAAATTATTAGGGAGAGACCAGTCGTTGAAGAAGCACATGCTCGGAAGGGTAGAAGGACAGCACAGGAGAGGAATACCCAGGATGAGATGGCTTTATACAGTGACTGAGGCAATGGGGGTGGGTGTGTTGGAGTGAGTGAGACTGGCTCAGGGCAGGGCAGGCTTCAGTGCTATTGTACACAGGGTCACTATGAGTCACAGGTAACTGATAACAACAACATTATTAATTGAGTGTGAGTTTACAGAGGGGATTAGTATTCCAGTCAACCATTCATATCCCCTCACTGCAGAAGCACACTTTCCACTTCCTCCCTATGACTCTTTATTTCCATGATCCTTTTATCCTCACCCTTCCTGCTGTCTGAGCTTTCTCCCTGAGCAAACTGTCTGATGCCATGAAGAGTGAAGGAAAGCAGAGCTGCATGGAAACAGTCCATAGTATGAATGGAGCTTGCACATCTCAACCTCCACGACCCTGGGACTGGAAGAACTAGATGGTGCCCAACTACGACTACTGATCTCTTGAGAAGAATCCCGAGAGAGGGTCCTAGGTCAATGTGGAACAAAATTCAAACTCCTAATATCAGTCAAGCTTACCAATCTTCAGGAGACTGATGGAACCCCCAAGACTGTGGCTCTTAGCCACATCTTGAGCCTAGAATTTTACTCACTCTTGTAAGAGAACTTTCAGCCTAACAGTAAGCTGGCTTATATGGCGAAGAGTAACATGGAGAAGCACTCAGTGCTGTTAAAACAATTAACTGCATACTCTGTCTTGTTGTTATGTGCTGTTGAGTTGCCTGTGATGCTATATATACAGCAGCTCTGAAGCCTGCCCTGTCCTGAGCTAGTCTCACTAATTCCACCTCCCATCACCCCAGTTACTATATCAATCCAGCTCACCTGGGGTCTTCCTCTCCTGTGCTGTCCTTCCACTCTTCCGAACATAATGTCCTCCTCCAAGGACCAGTCTCTCCTGGCCACATGCCCGAAGTATATGAGATAGAGGGTCAGGGTTTGAGGCACATCCTGGTAGGGCTGGGGAACACTGAACTAATAGTATCGATAGAGGATGTGAGTGCTCGCTGACAACCCCATTATATCAGCTGGACTCTTTTCTTCGTCATGACTGAGGACAGCCCAGAGGCCACTGTTGAAACCAAACAGGCTAGCTAGGGAAAGTGATTGTGTGACATTTAGTGCTCCCCCAACTCACTCAGGATGAGAACATTCCATCCCAGGGGCTGGCTGGATCCCTCCGTCTATCCTCCATTGCTTCCGATGGGTAGAGTGCACACTGGCCTCCTGGGTGTCCCATAGGCCTGGATTTAAAGCTTGCTCTGCCCTCTGCCACCGGTGGATCTTGAGGTGAGCCTGTTTCCCTCTGGGCCTCGGTCACTCATCTGAGGAAAGGGCGTGACCCGCCACCTCTTCCCACTTTACACAGGTCACTGCAAAGACCCCCGATTGAAGCAGAAGTGAGCGGTGGTTCAAAACTAGACCCTGGAGCCAGATCCCCCAGGGACCAAACCTGGCTCCATACTTTCAGCACCACCGCCTTAGGCAAGTTAGTTAATATCCCCCCTCCCCACCTCAGGCTTCACCTTTTAGCCAGTCTACTAAGACAGTATGTGTTAAGCACTTAGCAAATTACATAGCTAACAAGAATACTAGTATTTTAAGAACATGTAGGAAATTATAAACTGTAAATATGTGGTCGAGAAATGGAAGGTGGCTTTACATGATTAAAAACTTCAGACGCTGGGGGCATTCTCTTCAGTTCACAAGATGAGCAAACTGTAAAGTCGTGTTCACTACTCTGAATGATTCAGCATCTTACTGACTCACTTTAACTTTGCACTGTGGTGAACATTGACCTGCTAACTGAAAGGTCGTCAGTTCGAACCCACCAGCAACTCCCTGGGAGAAAGACGTGTCAGTCTGCCTCTGTAGAGACTGTAGCCTATGAGGCATTTCTGCTTTGTCCAAGAAGGCTGCAGTGAGTCCAAATAGACTCAGGGCTCGTTGGGGTTTGTGGTAGAAGCATTACTTGTACCCTACAGTTTTAACCATTTATCCCCCCACTTTACAGACCAGCGCAGATAAACTAGCCTCACATTCCTTGGCAGGTAGCAGAAAGTGGCAGAAGGAACTAGACGTTGAAATAGCCACGTGTACTTTCAAAGAAACATTAAGAACCTTAAAGCAGTGTGTAGAACTGGTAGCATGCTGCCAGATGCCAGGCATTTCAGCACAGCAGACAGGGTTAGTATGGCACTTCTCCTAGGAGAGACGGGAGGATCTGCCCGGTGCTTAGGGAGTAACTTTGACTTGACTTTTAGGTGCCTCGTTGTTACGAGTGTATCCCAGATGTTGTGGATAGCCCAGCCCGGCAGAGGTTCTCTCCTCTCTGTTGGCCTCTCTGCCTTCAGCCCACTGGGCTCTGCCAGGACACATGAATTTCATTTTCTCTTGTTTCAGGTTTTCTGATAAGAGGGGGGAAATTTGTACCAAAAAAATCAACAAGGCTTTAGACACTTGGGGAAGCCTCCCCCTGAAACCCTTTCCCCTCTGTCCTCAGCTGTGTCTGACTTTTGTCCTCTTCCCAAAGCCAAGTACATCGGCTGCTATCTGGATGATACCCAGAGTCGGGCCCTGCGAGGCGTGTCCTTTTTCGACTACAAAAAGATGACCGTCTTCCGTTGCCAGGACAACTGTGCAGAACGGTAGGGCTGCCCCACATCCTGGGCTCCATTCATCTCAGACCCTTCCTTCTGAGGATCCTGCCCCTGGTGTCCTTTCCTTTTTCCTGGAAAAAATGTGTTGGCGCGTGAGCACATGGCCACTGGGAAAGGGTGATGATACGTGTGTGTGTGTGTGTGTGTGTACACACGCACAATAACACAAGTGAGCTGTTGCAGGTTGGTCTGTGGGAGTTTGTGGTTGTGTGAGGTCATGCCTGAGAGTGGATTTGTAGTTAGGTGAGCATTACCAGAATTGATTATTGATTTGTGAGCTGCAGACCAATCCATAATTCTCTTTAAATACAAGTGCCTGGGTCTTGGTGAATGTATGTGCAAAGGCCTAGAATTGTGTTTGTGTGAGCAGGAGTCTGATGGCATTGCTGAATGTGCACGATTGTATTGAAGCTATAAGCAAATGCAAACAAGTTAGAGGTACACAATTGAGTGTGCATGTACCTGCATGTCCGAGTGTGCAAAGCAGGAGATGTGCACAGGATGAGGCAAGGAGTTGACTCCCAGGAGGATCGCTCGTGTGTTGCTCAGGAAGAAAGGCTGGCTAGTCTAGACAGTGTCTCCTAGAGGATGAGGAGGAGGATGTTCCTCATTAGAACATGCCCTTGGGAAAAGGGGGTGAGGAAGGACCCTCAGTCAGGCCCCGCCAGCTTTGAGGCTACAATTGCTGTCCTGAGGGTGCTGTGGGGCTGAGCTGACCTGCTCTTCCCTTGTCTCATGTTCCTCCCACTGTCCCCCGAGTCCTTTGTGTGTTTTCAAGGAGCTCTGGTGGCCTAGTGGCAAGAAGCTGCACTGCAATCCCGAAGGTGCGTGGTTTGAATCCACCAGATGCTCTACTGGAGAAGGAGGGCCAGTCTCCTCCTGTGCCATTCAGATCTGACTTGACAGTACATAAGAGGGGAAAAAATAGTCAGTAATGCTTGTGTGATTGCTTGTGATGATCTTCCCACCTCAGCTGCATCATCCAGGACAGCTCCTCACGTGATGGGAGGCCTCTCAGCTCCTCACCACATGGGCCTCCCCACCGGGCTGCTTGAGTATCCTTACAGCATGGCGCTGGCTTCCTCCGGAGAAAGCAAAAAAGAAGCGACAGTTGCCTGTACAGCCTATGCTTTGGAAATCACATACCGTCTCTTCCACCGTAATCTGTCTGTTAGAAATGAGTCTGACCCACACTCAAGAGGAGATTAATTAAGGTCTCCGTCTTTTAGTTAGGGACCTCTGCAAATTATTGAAGAGTAATGATGTCAGTTTGAGGACTAAGGTACATCTGATTCAGGCCATGTTCTTTCTACCTGAAGGCTGGACAATGAATAGGGATGACGGAAGAATTGATGGCTTTGAGTTGTGTTGGAGAAGCGCACTGAACATCCCAGGGACGGCCAAGAGAACGAACAGATATGTCTTGGAGAAGGTGCAGCTGGAGTGCTCTTTGGAGACAAGAATGATGATGAGGCTTCACCTCACATACTTCAGGCATATTGCTAGGAGGGGCTATTCCTTGGGGAGGGACATGATGCTGGGATTGACAAGGTGACTGCTGCAATGGGTTTTAGTGGAAGTGTGAGGATGGCGGGATTCAGACCCTCTGTTCATAGGGTCGCTATCAGTTATTCAGGACTAGACGACACCTAACAACAACCACCTCTTTGAGGAAAGAGTATCAGAAAACTGTGGACATATTTTAAAACTATGACTGTTAGCCTGTAGGATCCCTGGGCATAATTTTTCTGTCCTTGGGATAACAGCCGCTGGACTTTGTTCAGGGTGAGTCTTCCATCTCCCTGGGTCCCTTCCACCTCACATTTCATCCTTGCTGCCTTTTGCTTTAGAATTAATCATGCTCCCTGGGCCTTTTTCTTGTGAAGTTTTGTTACTGTCGGGGGATCTCGTTGCAAAAGGAAATCCTCCAGGAACGAGCTGAGTCTTCAGAGAGCTACAACCAGATGGAAGGAGACTTGTTCCAGCCCCAAGAGGAGACCTTGAGGTTCTAGAAAATTCCTCGGAGGCCTCCGTGAGTGAGAGGCTGAATGAAGTGTTCTTCCTTCCCTCCCTCTTCCCTCAAAACCAGCAGCGCCTTTCCGTCTGTTTACAGAGCAGGTCTCCAAAGTCCTTTTAAGGCAAGGATTCTGTGCCTCTGAAAAGAACAGGCAGCCTGGTAATCTGGGCGCCAGAGTGCAATGATTTTTTTTAAGGGAAAAAAATCTTTACTTGACCTTGATTTTGCCCTCTTCCAGGGGAGTAGAGGTGTCTTCCTGTGGGATGTTTCTTGGGATAAAAGGAGAAACAATTCTGGAGATGGGGCTCTAAGTCAGAGATGGGTCTCCAGTCAGAGAGAAGCAAGAGTGGGGTGAGGTGGGGCCAGGCTCAGAGAGACAGAGAGTGGGTGAGAGAGAGAGAGAGAGAGAGTGTGTGTGTGTGTGTGTGTGTGTGGTTTGAGGTGTAGACAGGTGAGTGACTGGATGTGGAGTCTATGTGGGTAGGTGTGTAGGTGGAGATAAGCATCAGGTGGGGATAAAGGCAGATGGGTGATCACCTGCATATCCCTCTTCTACCCCATGGGCTCCTATCCCTTCTCTGGGTCTCTGTTCTCCCCAAGCCTTCCTGTCCTGTTCCCCTACAGATGTCCTTACCCCTCATTGTTGCTGACCTCTGTCAGGGTCTCCTTACCCTAGCCCAGGAGCCCCATTTCTTAGAGCATTACCATCACCAGGTCCCCTTGGGCGTCTCTGCCACTGAGGGCCTCCCCTGATCTCCCCAGAGCCCCTTCTCATCCCTCTCCATGTTTTCCTGCTGCTCCCCCATCATGTCTCCTTCTCCTTTGGGGAGGGAATGTCTCCCAGCTCCCTAGAGACCTCCTTCCAACAGATCTCTAGGATGGATCTCCTGACCCTTGAGGTCTCCCTGTCTCCTCCACTTTACACCACTTCTCTCCTGTCCCCACATTCCCCCAGGACCCCCTTCCTGTTCCCTGGAGTTTCCCCGTCTCTCAGTTCTCTGCAATACTCCTGGCCGACACGACTCCCTCCTCACACAGGGGTTACCTCTATGCCGGGCTGGAGTTTGGTGCCGAGTGCTACTGTGGTCACAAGATCCAGGCGGCCAACGTGAGCGAGGCCGAGTGTGACATGGAGTGCAAGGGCGAGCGGAGCAACGTGTGTGGGGGCGCCAACCGCCTGTCCATCTACCGGCTGCAGCTGGCCCAGGAGTCGGCCCGCAGGTGTACGTGAGTCACTGCCATCCCTCTTACTCCTCCCGAGACCCCCTGCCCCAGTGTTGACTCGCCCCCCCCCCACAGTGCATGTCTGCCATGTACCTTCTGTGACTCCCTAGTGCCCTCGGCCCTGGAGCTAGTGCCCTGAGGCACCCCAGTCCTGCTCCGCCCCACCCTGCCCCTGGCTTCCCATCCCTGTTCCGGCTGCTTTAAACATTTCCAGCTCCTTCCTTTCGCTCCCCTCTTCATCTTGCACCAGCTGCACTCCTCAGTCCCTGCTTCTCTCTCTCCCCACTTCTCACACTAAGCTGCAGGCGGAGCTTGGCCTCCGTGTCCTGTTTGAGCGCAGGTTGCCTCTGTTGAGGATGATGACGACATAGCCTGAAGTCCTAGTCTAAGTGCCGTATGACTGACGTGGATTAGTGCATCTCCTCCTCGCCATTACCCTCGAAGTAGGCGCTGTTGCTTACTTGGGCTCTGGTGTCCTGCAGGGGCAACGGTCATTGTTTGGTCTGCTCCTGGGAAGATGGCAGCCCTGGACGCTGTTCTAGTCTGTCCCGTGGGGTCGCTGTGAGCCGGAATCAATGGGACGGTTCCTAGTGACAACATTTACCTAGGTCCCTGTTACACCTGAGAAAACTGAGGCTCCTAGCCTCCCGTAGCTTATAGCATCACACAGCTGGTAAGCAGCAGAGTCAGGATTTAAGCTGACTCCGGAGCCCACATTCTCACAGCTCCAGTCGTTGCTGTTACGTACTTCAAGTTAGAACTGACTCATAGCTGACCCTCCAGTGGGTTTTCCCGTGAATCACTTGGGAGGAGATTACCCGTGCTGGTGGTGCAGCGCCTTACCTCTTGGCCGTTACTGTAGAGGGAATGAAGTTCCTTGGCGTGTTCAGGCTCGCGGGTTAGTGTTGTGGGGAGCATTCTTCCATTTCCAAGTTGAAAGAAGAGGAAAAGCAAATGCTCGCAGCCATCCAGTCGGTTCCAGCACAGAGCTCCCCAGCAGCATAAAGAGAGCTGCCCAGAAGGTTCCCAGGAGCCACACTGCCACAGCCTTCCCTCCTGGGGCTGCAGGTGGGTTTGAACTGCCAACATGTCAGCTAGCAGCCAAGCTCTTAAGTACTGAGCCACCAAGCCACCTCCTCAAAAGCTTGCAGCCTTGGAAACTCTCTGGTACAGCTCTGCCCTACCATGTGTGGTCACTATAAGGCAGAATGGAACCCCCCAGATGGTAGGCCCACCGCCGCAGGTGGATTGGACAGGTGGATCTCCCCTGCCTCCAGGTGAGAAAACAAACAGGCTCTCTCCTGAGCCCCGAGTTGTGTATCAAGAGCCCTTGTGGGTTTGCTTGCTCGAGTCTCTTCAGTCCTGTTCTTTCCGAAGCATAGTCCAATCTCCACCCTACACTAGGATCAAATGGAGCTGCCAGTTTGCAGACCAGCTGGTTTCCACGAATGGTCTCCATCGTCTGTCATCCCACGGTGGACTCAACTCTGCTCTGCAGGTGACAGGGATCACAGGTGGCGTGTGGATGCCAGGCTCTGGTCTGGCCATACATGGGATGCATTTTTAATTTATCCAGATTGATTATCCCCATCACTGATCTCTGTGTTACTCTAAGGGTGACACTTGGACCGTCTGGACGAGGGGAAGCTGCTGTAGTGAAACAGGTGTCATGGGTGAGGCTGAGAGGTAATAAATAGGTTATGAGTGTTACTCTGTGAACATTAGCCAGACTTTCTGGCCTTTTTAGATAACAGATTGGCCGGACAGTCTAGACATTTCTTTCCATTCTCTTCCTCCCTCTTTCTGTCTGTCTCTTTGTGTCTATCTGCCTCTTTCCCTCCCCTCCTCCTCATTTCTTTTTTTCTCTCTCTTTCAGTCTCACTCTCACACACAAATACACATTATTATGATCACCTGCTAAAGCACTCACAGCTGAAATAAAAGCCTTCGTGCGCGTACGTACACACACACACACACACACACACACACACACCCACACACCCACACACACACACCCACACACCCACCCACCCCCATCAGGTTGTGTTGGCCAGGTAGGCTTTGTCCGGTGGCCGTGGGAGGGCAGGAAGAATGGTGTTTCTGGAGAAGAGCTCATAAGATTAGCTGAAGTAATGCTGCGCCCTCGCCTTGCCACCTCTGCAGTACCAAAATTACCTTCAGTGGTTTTGCTCATCTGAGAAAAGCATTTTTGTACAAGAAGAGAAGAAAAACCCAAAACTCATTGCTGTCTAATCAGTTCCAGGTCACAGCAATCCCATGTTGACAGAGGGGAAGCAGTCCCATCTACCAAGTGGGGATCCTCTTAAGTCTACCACAGTTTTTCAGAAAGGCAGCAAATATAAATAAGTAGGACCTGTGAAGGCTGGAAGCCTGGACACCTTCAGCTGCAGACTTGAGAAGGAACTCAAAGCCTTATATACTCTCAGGCTGCTGTGGCCGAGGTCCAAGTGGAAATGACTTGGATAAGGAATCGGCTCTGTGTGTGTCCAGTTGAATGCTCACTGAGCTCCCAGTTGACTGTGGTGTGTGGAGAGAGAACCAGGCCCATCCATTCACTTAAAGAACTCATAGATGGAAGGGCTCCCGAGAGTAAAGCCCAGTCCCTGCTCTTAAGGTGCTCACCGTCTAATGGGGAGACGCACCAGTGGGTCGTGTTCGGGCATGGAGCTATGTGATGAGGACCCCCACAGGAGCCAGAAAAACAGTGTGTTAGCTGAATCTTACCATAAGGAGAGATTTCCAGGGTGAAAATAAAGGTACAGTATGGCCATGAGCAAAAACCCAGTCAGCGGAGGCCTCGAGTTACATGACATTTTGGGAGATCCACCAGTCACCTTCCTGATTCTGTGTACACTTGTAGGTGCTGATGCCTGCAGAGCAGATAAGGCCCTGGGGTGGCTCTACAGGGAGGAGGCATTTGCTGAGCATCTCAAAGAGTAGAAATTATTTTATCTGATGAAGGAGAGGAGGAGACTCAAGTAAGCAAGGGGTGAAGGAGAAATCTAAGCAAATGGAATAGAATGTGTAGCAGCAAAGAGTTTCAGTAAACGATAGACTGGCCTGGTTTTCCCAAAGTCACAGCACTTCTTAGGGATCACACAAGGCCCCTCATCCCTGGACTCCCAGCCCTGGTTGCTTCTCAGTCCAGCTCTGGTCGCTTATGGGTAAGGAACTGCATTGCCAACCCAGACCCACCAGGGGCTCTGTGGGAGGAAGATGAGCAGTCTTCGCCCGTGCGATTTACAGCTTCTGCAAACCCACCGGAGGGTCAGCTATGTTTGGACAATAGCAGCAGGGCTGTAGATGTCCCTGACGTCTTGGATTACATTCAGGAACCTCTACCCCCTCTGATAGGGAACCTCCCTGGCTCGTTTAACTCCTACCTTCCTTTCCTGACACCTGATTCTTCCTTCTGCCTTGTTTATGGACCCAAAGCAGTACACACTCTCCCACACCTTTGCTTTGACCCAGTGACAGCCTCAGCTTCCCATACCTGGGATCTGATTTTTACATCAGCAGACCACAGTGTCACTATGCGTCCTAGTGTCCTCCACAGCACCTGACAACAACAGGTCTGAAGGGGAGGCCTTGCTAGTGTCTAGCACTTTAAGGCAGCAGGCAGAGAAATGAGCAAGCAGTCTGGAGCAGAGGAACAGTGGAGCCCAGATTCCGCAGGGAGAGTCATTAGTGGGTATTACACTGTGTCCTAATTGTGCTTCCCTGAGCGGTGACACAGAACCCTTAATGATTCTGAAGGCTCAGAGGAGGCTTCATATTTCCCAGGCACCACCGTGGCAGAGTGCAGGGCTCACGTGGAGAGCTGACCTGTGTCTGGGGGGTGGGGGGGGATGCTGCTGTGGTAGCAAGTACCCGAAAGGGTTGGCACGGCCAGTGTGTGCAAGCACCCCACCATTCCACCATGACACCGACTCAGCCGAGTATTCTCCCTGCCCTCGTCACCGAAAAGAACCTCAAACAGCCAAGAAATGGACGGCCTCCTTGGTAGGATTACATTTTGCACAGCAGTTAGATAAACTTGTCAGCAAGTGTAGCTCTTCTCCCGGGGGCTTTACGGGATGTTGTGAGCCATTTCGTGATGCCGAAAGGCTCCTGCAAGATTTGGATAGCGATGTTCCCTATTACAGATTACCCTGAACCATAGGTGCTGGGCTCCTGGGTGGCTGTCCATGGTGCTGACCATCTCTTGGTCACTGCAGTTCTGTCAGCTCCAGGTCACAGCCGCCCTGTGCACAACAGAATGGAATGGTGCCCCATTCCGTCCCCATGGACAGTTACAGATCAGGCCCTGGTGATCTACAGGCTTTCATTCACTGGGTTTGAATGTGGCTCACCAGGCCTTTCTTCCTAGTTCCTTTTAGTCTAGAAGCCGCACTCAGACCCATCATCATACCTGCAGTAACAGGAATCTCTATGTGAGATGGATTGGCCAGGATTCAAACCGGGGTCTCCCAGAGAAAGAATTCTACCGCATGTCCACTAAAAGCTTTAAATAAACTCCAGGGCTCAGCATTTTTCTTTTTTTGTTGTTGTTGGGGGTGGTTTGTTTTTGTCTGTCTCGGTGAAAAACATCATGAAGTTGATGTTGTTGTTGATTGCCTTCAAGTGAAGCATGACTCATAGCAACCCTAAGAACAAAAGGCCGGAGGCACCTCTACAACTGTCAGCATTTATCAAAGTTCATTCACAAAGTTTCCGGAGACATGTTTAGGAAGTGGATGCCGATACTGTTACTAAAGAAAGTAGGTCCCTGACTGATGGTCGAGAATTTACATGAAAGATTATGTCCACTTGTGTGTCCTGGCAGTTGTTGGTCTTTGAAAGTTGAGAAGGTGACTTCTGTGGGCATCTTTGTGCTTTTACTCCTGCTGGTTTTCCACTCCAGCCACTTCTGCTGGGAGGGGCCTGAGACGAGCAGGAAGAAGCAACTGTGATGGCTAGACTAACTCCTCCCCTGCCA